AACAAGGGACTTATCGTTTTGCAAGTACAGGTTGATGAACTCTGTTGTAAGACTAGATGCAGGTTTCGTGTCTTCTTCGCCATTGTAACAGCCACACGTAGTCCTGAATATCCGTGAGTGAAGTGCCGTAAGTCCTGAGCGGCTCTGCTCCGAACTGGGTGACGTGTGAAGCTCTGTTGAGTTGTGTTGCTGTGCTGTTATCCTATGTGTAGGAACGTTTGCTTGTGTGGGTGTCAGCGCATGACTTGTTGCTACCTTATCGGACGGAAGACAGTCGACGTCAGATGAGTCACCCTTATGTGTCATGATCTGTACGTTTAGGGAAAGGAAGACAAGTCTTGGGATCAAGGGCTTGGCTGTGAGCTATGTAGTCAAGTGAGTCACAATCCTGTGGCGTGATTTGTGAGTGCAAGAAAAAATAGATCTCGTTACCTAGCGAGTGGCGGTGAGCTGTACAGTCATGTATGTGGCGAAAGAGTAGCCACAACCTCAACAGGGACAAAATCGAACAGGCGTCGAAAGTTTAATTTTTTACTCTCGCACTCTCTTCATGCAGAACATAAGGCGACTCAGCTGACTTCGGCCTAGGTTGCAGAAAGGAAGGTTTGTTTGTGGAATTCATGATTGCATATAGTTTTGCAGTGCTTGAATACGCAAACCCAAAACGGAGAACAATTCGGATCATCAGCCAACACCTTCAGTTTGAAAGCTGGACAGCCGACAGCAGTGTTTAGCCTAAGGTTTGTGGAACATTCTAACTCTTCAAGAATGATTTCCATTAATGTTCCTGGTTGCCGGGTTTCTGTAATTGTCGGGCCACAAATCGTTCAACTGCTGGGTGGGAAAAATAGGCGCAGTATCATGGTGGACTATAATGTTCACAACTAATCAAACTGTGATCGGTACAAGCCGTTCCACGATGAGGAGCCGCGCTGGATCACTCAGCCGTATTGCACTTCCTCTGAGGCCTTGCGGCGTCAGATACAAGGCGCCTTCCGAAGCTAGATGGTTCTAACCCATTAAACACGCGTAAAATCAAGTGCAATAAACGAGCAGCAAGCTAAAACGGATATCGCATTGTTACACGCACCAGTCATTGAGTTTCAACAAGCCAAATCCACAACGATGCACAGCTAACGGTCGTTCAATTGAAGGAGGCTTTGTGCAATAATCTATATACCCGAATATGATGGTATTCTGCTGCGCATTTGCTAAAGGCCACCCACAAATCTGAATCCAGGCAAGCAGTAGTCTGCTGATTACCCATGATAATTTCACAACTCGAACTCGGATGCCTATTGCAACTGAGTAGAGAACCTGTAGTGTCTGTAATCCGTTGTCACATTTACCATTCTTCCTGAACTTGAACCACACTTTGTAACTGTCGTTCACATTGTATCATGACGTTTGTTTTAATGTTACGAATACACAATTTTCCGGCGCGACCTGCTGACTTCTTGCTGAACGACTGTATTTACGCCCGTTGAACTGTTTGTTGACTGTTGAACCAGTGGGACTAAATCTCTGTGTTTGTGTCAACTGTTAAACGTCACAATAAATCCCTGTGACATTTTTTAGCCGTGAATAATTTTCCTACCGTGGAATATTTCACTCACACGGAGCCATCTGCAGGAAATCTCGACGAGTGAATATTTTCCTCTCTCAGCCAGTTACTGCATTCGGATCGGTGTAGTGGACTACTGAACCTACGCATTCGTGAGTCCCCATTTGACTACTCATTGCTTTCCTATTGTGATTTTTGTGATTTTGCATTGGTTACTTTTGCTTGTTAATTTATCCGAACACGCTGGTTAGGTCCTAGTCCGCTACAAACCAAGTAATGGACAGACAGTATTTTCAGCTTCCCGTGGTTAATTAAAAATCATATTGTCCAGAATAGTTTCTAGCTGATTAAAAAGTTACGGTTTTCGAAATATTTGACCAAGATACCTACAATTTTCTGCACAAATTCTTCAAAGCTAAGCATTTTGAAGTGAATCTTATCATAATCGCACAATCCTACCCGTCCTTGCAACGAGCAAGCACTGTTCCCCCTAGAGTGGATTTATTAATTATGGGAAGGTTAATAAATGGAGTCCAACATAGGGCTCTTGGCGTCTTCTGCACTTATGCTCCTGAGGCCAAAGTGAAGAATTACACCTGACTTTAGAGGGTCTGAAAGCAAATCGAGCGCCGATTGTACTCTCACATAGAAGGAGTCCAAGCTGCATGCAAGAAATTTTCCTCTTGTTAGCAGACACCTAATGTGGAATTATGAGAGGAGTCGTTGCTTCTGCATGGTAATAGATAACGGACTACCATTTATTCTCTGGCATGCAGGGCGCTCTGAACTTTCTAACCCTCTCTATTTTCCTAGCTGGGCGGTCAGAAAGCTGAACGAAATCGAAGAGGAATATATGTCAGCACAACTTCTAGCGTGCATTCTCCATGGTTTACCAGCTCCTGTTATCCATTCCAACACAAATTCTACACACTTTGTGATGCACTTGAGAGACGGGAATTGAACCTGAGTGGAACAATAGTGGTATCCCACAGAGGATTGTGTTCTGTTCCAGGGACTCCCCCACAATAAATCTTCTCGGGACTAAACTGTGAACACATTCCTGCCAACATGGTTCTCCCGGAGTTCTCCCGGAGGATGACTCCCCAGCTCACAGGGGAACTTTGGGTGTATCCTAGGCAGACGAAATAGCTTTGATTCAGCTTGACGAAATATTTTCGGTTGATTTTTGGCCAGTTTCTTAGCAAAGGCCACCTTCCTGCTGCTGAGAGAAGATTTGGCGTTCACAGGTCTGGTGATGGTTTATCACCCAGTAGCTGCAGTCTCTGTTTGACTCCCTTTCATACCCCCCTGGGCAACGAGTACTCCTTCGACCTCGCTCGCGCGTGGCGAAGATGCCCTTATATACGGGCAGCTAAACACAAAATAAAGACGCCATTGTCATTTGTGATGCCATATATTTTATCTCACAAAATATCTTATTGTAATTTAACAAGTTCCACCACTCCATAAGCTGAAGCTCCGCGGGATCCAAGGAAGAAGTCACATTGAAGCATGGCTTCATTTCGAGCAGAGCTTCTCTGACGAATACCGGATTAGCCTGTTCTAGTTCTGAATTGCCCTTGCCGTATTTACTCAAGTCCACATATTAGGACCTCTCTTCTCTTTTGCCCACTTAATCGACATTCCGAATGCTCTTTAAAATCCGTCTGCTTTTTGCTGCCGGACGGAAATATTGTGGTTCTAAATCCAGAGCTGAAAGCAGTGGTCTTCTGAATCGTGGCAATAAGTGTGTGCATATCTCAGCCGGTGAGGAACCAGCAACCATCTCCATCATGCAAGGTGTGAATGAACCAGAGGACCTGAGGGAACTGGACAGAAAGAAGGACTTGGGCAAATGGCTCACTTCATTCATTTACACTCTCCATCACAAAACCTTTTTCGATGGTTTCGCTTCGTACGACTCGACGCACGTTTGTGTATTATTACTTTATGCGGCTTATATCAGAATACGACAAACAACTTATCCACCCGGGGCTCAAGGTGAGCCGTACATCGATTGATTGTGCCCAGTAGGCCACCATGAAAGTGATCGCCGGCCTCGACTCTGACGCCACCGGGAAGGATATGGTCAGTCTCGCGCACTGGGACTTGAGTCCACAGTGCGTAACAAAAAGATGACGTCTGGGTGGACATTGGAATTGGGATGGCAGTTTTAAAGTACAAGGAATCCTCATCAGCCCCCCAATTATGGACGCAAACCAGAAAATGGAGTAACTGTCCAACAATATTTTACCATCAGAGAGTTCTCTCGTTGGCCATCACGTAATGAGCTTTCCGAACCCTTCATTCGCGGCTTCACTGGTTTACCCCTAAAGCCGGCAATGCCCTGTCATCCATTCATATTCCCCAAGCGTACTGAACGAACAGTGAAGAGTATTCCATAACCTGCTGTCTGATAGTTTGACCTACTAACATGCGCCATAACATATTCTTATTTAATACAGGTGCCTGAGCGCTTCTTTCCCCTTCCCCGCCATCATACATTTGCTTTGAGTTAATCTGATGTGTGTGTGTGGATGTTTTTTTACTATCCATACGAATGATGACGGGAAATTTACTGCTGATTCTGTTTGGCTTTGGGTTTACATAAGTCCCGCTCGAAGTCGATAATTTCGTCGTCTGCACCATTCAATTGTCCATTTCACTGTCGAGGAGAAAAGCTGCAATATATTTGTGACAAGCACATATCCAAGCCAAACGGGAACTGATTTCGCTTCACCATTAGTATTGTGGTTCATTTTCCTCCATTCTTTCATTCGTCCGACAATTATAAAGCACTTTCGTCTCTACTAGCTTGACTGCTTTCTGCGAACCACCCGATTCTGAAGTGCCTCTGGTCAACAAGACTTTGGTTACGGGAAAGGGAGGCTTCAGATGTGGACACCTCTACAAGTTCCTGATTAGCGACAGATTAGCCGAATCCAGACTTATGACCGGCCTGATGGCAGTTTTGACCTTTTGTACTTCTGACAGCATGCCGGAATTCCAAGTTCCTGCTGGTACTTAACCATCGCAGAGCCGTCGAACATCAATGACGGCAATATGCGGGGTGAGGCAAGCATCCCTAGCACACTGTCTAATAATGTCGTCTGTCTCTTATATTGTCGTCGCTTATTTCCTCAGATTTTCTTTACAACGGTGAGCTTTGAGCACATAAATTCTCACCTGGATGATGTCAGCTGTTCAGAAAATTTCACCGAGGTCGGCCACAAGCAATGATCTCGACTTTGACGTTTGCTGCGAAAGCCCTACAACCACTGGATGTAACTGACGGTGAACCTCCAGCTGTGTTCTGTCAGCAATGGCCTGTGTGGAAATGGATTTCAGTCGTCGTGGAGGACATAGATGGCCGATGTGCCAGGAAATCCCACCGGAACCGACTTGATCACACTGATTGCAGCGACCTGAGAGGGCGCTGGCTATTCGCACAATGAGATTGATTTCTCGAAATCTACGGCATTTTCAGACTTGCCACTTCATAATGCAGAATATTTACGCATAATATATATCCTCCTGTATTATTAAAAATCCTTTACTGTGGCGATTTGTTTAAGTGAATCAAATCTCCAGGCGAATAAACAGCGCCGACTTTGAATACGTTACCTGATGATAAAAAATCGCGAACCGTGGAAAAGGTTGACTCACATACAATGAACGTAACTTTTAGGTATTTTTCCACCAGAACAGATTTCCTCAACATTCCAGAATCTAAATGGCCTTCGGAGATGCAAGATATGGGTAGGCGCATTCGTGCAAACAAATTTTGGTCGATGATTATTTGTTGCCAGTAAAAATTCCGTAGTGCACGCTAATTATTTGCACGTTGACTGGCAAACTACAGTTTTTCATTATAGGTTGCGAATTATGCTAGAAAGACCTCGAGGTTCATCGGTCTTAACCGACGCACACCACTAACATGCAGCTAGAGGTACACGAGGCCTAACTAATCCATCCATCGGTAACGGAAAAAAGGCTCAAAATGGACGTCTTGAAATTGTGAGATATATTGGTCGTTTTGAAATTTACATATGTCCTCCTGTGAGGCGCATTTTCTTCTTCGTGAGGAGCATTCATTTGGATATTGAAGTCCTGAAATGAGAGGAAGATATAATTCAGGCTATCGAAATATCACTATGAGGCGGGCGGCCGACAAACAGGTAGAGATACTTACCCCAGAATTCACTGCGGCGACTATGCTGTCGTAGATGCCTGCTCACACAATGCCATCCTCAGCGGTTATTTCGCATGCCTGTTTACTGCACCTCTCAAGAAATACGAGACTTACATGTAATGCATAGGACCTCATTAACAGATAAACTTTTCGGAGCCGATGGGTCACATGAAATCATCTTCGTCTCTTTCATCTAGCTGGCGCTCTACAGAGTTAG